TTCCTAGATTCATACTTTGTACATTCCATGTTCCGATGATTAATGGATGTCTGTGGCTGTTTCTCTTCAATTTGAGTGGTGCCACATCAGTAAATGGAGGTCTCGAAAGCTTTACGTTATCCATAGGACTAAGGCTGGGTTTACTCAGATGATGCAGCTCTTCCTAGTCCTATTTTGAGAGTCTTCTAACCGGACTATTCATAAAGTTGTGCGGTAATGTATCAAACAGTGTTTCTTTGCTATTCATAAGGTTTTCCTTGGCCAATTCTTTGAGAAGTGGACAGCCTCTTTCTTCAAGAAAGTTAGATATCTGAGAAAATACGTAATTTCAAGATAATAAATGATATCTTTTTGATGTATTTGTATTAAAGTAGATTAGTTTGTGCTATGGTAACAAACTATCCCAGGATCTCAATGGCTTCCCCCGACAACAGTGTATTTCTTTTTCACACTGTCTGTCCATTGCAGGGCTCCAGGAATCTCTGCCTGACGTACTCAGGACCTTTCTGTGACTGTCTTGTCTAGAACACAAGGACTTTTAGGTTGTGGCTTTAGAAGAGACAGCCTGGAGAATTGTACATGGGCTTTTCACAGCTTCAGCCGATGGGAGCATCACTTCTGCTCATGTTTTATTGGGCAGAACTACCAGATGGTCCCTCCTAACTGTGGGGTGGGGTGGGGGTTCCTAGGAAATGTAGGGGAGCAATTGGAATGTTTCATAAGGAACTCCATCTCTGCTGTAGCACCAGTCTAGTGACAGGAGTGAAGATGTCAGATGGATCATGGTGCTTGCTTCAGTGAGTGTAGTGAGGCTCTGGTGGCATAATGGGTAAGGCATTTGGCTGCTAACCAGAAGGTGGGCAGTTCAAACCCACCAGCTGTTCTGTGGGAGGAAGATGATGCAGTCTACTTCTGTAAAGATTTACAGCCTTGGGAACCCAATAGGGGTCGCTACGGGTTGAAAATTGATTCAATGGCAGTGAGTTTGGTTTGGGTTTTATAGGTGAGAGCTCTGAATGTGATTCAGCTAATACATGCTCGTAAAAAAAAATTGTGGTTCTGAATGAGACAACACACACTTTCTAAATTACCTCTATTGTGGGTGTATCTTAATGTTGAGCTCTGTTTAATATTTTTATATGGTAGGGCCCTGTCTGTACAATTTCTCCGTTGAACGTAACAGAAATTATTTTTGAGGTAAAGCCATTTTGTGAGTAGGGATAATGCTTTCTTTGCTATTTTAAAAATGGAAATCATTTTTAGTCTTAAATTATTATACCATGTAGTAAAAAAAACTTGTTTAAAAAATACTGACATTCCTACTACCGTTTAAGTTGTATTTCATCTTTTTATATCTTAAGATCTTAGCATATTTTTATACCACGTGGCACAAATGGATGTATTGAAATTTAAAACAACAGTTAACACAAATGAACTCTTATTATTGGCTAATAAATGGTGTTTTGGCTGTATATAAAAGAGTTGGTAGTGTTCCTACTTTCCTGTGAGGAAATGGAAGCTCTCAAGAGGTTAAGTGTCATACAGCTAGTAAGTAGCAGAACTTGTGCTAGGTAGAGCTGGAGTCTGGCTGCCCATAGTTTATGTTCTTTTCTGCAGTATGTCTTTGTAACCATGTCAGCAAATTTCCTAAGGTACAATAGTAATGGCTTCCATCTTTCAGGTGCCTGTTGCTTGATGGTTGCTGTCAGAAAGACCATTTAAGATCCCACCTTTTGCTTAAGGGTTTATTGAAGACATCATCATATTTAGTATTTTTCTCTATACTATGGGGGAAAACAGATTTGGTCAAACAAGACAATTTTTGAAAGACATAAAGGACATCTATTTAGCATGAGCGTCTGAGGAAATTGTTATCAAGCTGTCTTTTAAGTGTTGGGGAGACAGATTAGGATAGTGGAAGAAGACGAAAACTTAGAGCCAGGTAGACTTGAGTTTGACAGCTGGCTCTTTACCATCTGCTGCCACTACTCACCCGCCCATTTTGTCACACCATGGTGGTTTGCATGTTGCTGTGACGTGGGAGGGTGTGCCACTGGCGTTTCAAATACCAGCAGGGTCACTGTTGGCGCTTCCAGACTAACAAAGAGAGGCCTGGTGAGGTACTTCTGAAAATTAGCCAGTGAAAACCCTGTGGATCCCAACAGAATATTGTCCAGTATAGAGCTGCAAAATGAGTCCCCTGGATTGGAAGGTACTCCAAATACACAGTGGCCGCAGCAGTGGACAGGAGTGTAATGGAGGTGGTGCAGGGTCAGGCAGTGTTTCTTTCTGTTACACATAGGGTCTCCGTGAGTTGGAGTCAATTTAAGTCAACTATCAACACAGCCATCTACTAACAGTGTTGACTTGGGTACATCTCCTGTCTTCTCTGAACGTCTGTTTCTTCACCTCTGGAAAGGGGGAAGAGGTTGTTGTGAACATACCTACCCTGTTAGGACTATTGGGATAATTAATTGACCAGATAATATAAAAGCTCCACACAGCCAAGTACATACCCTGAAATTGCTTGATGCATGGTCAGTATCGTTGGTGACACCTGGAAGTAGATATTTCTCATTTAGATATGCATCTTTCCAGATGAGTTGGAGGGGAATTCCCATGTGCATTTCTTGGGCCTTGCCTGGTATTAGCTCTTCCTCCCCTTGCTGTCATTCTAGAGAATGACCATGGATAAAAGTGAGCTGGTACAGAAGGCCAAACTCGCCGAGCAGGCTGAGCGCTACGATGATATGGCAGCAGCCATGAAGGCAGTCACAGAACAGGGGCATGAACTCTCCAACGAAGAGAGGAATCTGCTCTCTGTCGCCTACAAGAATGTGGTAGGTGCCCGCCGCTCTTCCTGGCGCGTCATCTCCAGCATTGAACAGAAAACCGAGAGGAATGAGAAGAAGCAGCAGATGGGCAAAGAATACCGTGAGAAGATAGAGGCGGAACTGCAGGACATCTGCAATGATGTTCTGGTAAGAGGCCAGTGTTTCTGCTTGAAACAGTGCTTTCTAAATGTATTGATTTGATGTACAAATGCAGACTCCTCACACAGTGTATGAGACAGAGGTTGGAGGTATCTAACTAGACAGGAAAGCTGCCGACTGTTGGCAGCTGGCTCTTAAGTACAGGACGTGACTTTCTGACCTCTGGCTCGCCCAGAGCTTGCTCATCTCTCCTGGGGTATTCTCTCCCATCAAAGAGATCTCTGAGAAACAGTCGATGTCCCTCTATCTTTTCTGCAGAAATTGAGGCCAGACAGGCAGGATTTTTGATAGCTGCAGCCTCCGACAGGCTGTTCTAATTACTGGTCTCAGTGGTGATGTCATCTGCAGTGAGGGGAGGCAGGTCAAGAAGCTGAGCCACCTTCCAGCCTCTCCCAGTCCTGCCTCCGCAGTGTCAGGGGCTGCTTCTGTCCATTTTTTGAGCACGCCCATCAGTTTGGGCATGCATCCCAATTTCAAATGAATAGTTTGGGGGTTCTCCTCTCCTGTTTTATATAGGCCTTAGCCAGAAAATTGATTCCTAACTGCTGTTCCTCAGGCTACGGTGTAGGGTTGGATGGGAGGGGTACTGCATATCCTACCACAAATCCCGATCATACTGTCTTTCCCTCACACCCTGAGCCCACTGGGAACTTTTTTTTTCTTCCAGGTGAAATCAGGTAAAAATGAACGGTAAGGGCTGCTTTGAAGGGAAAAGGAAGTTACACTTGTGGCTCCACCTCCTCCCCTGCTGACTGCCTCCGAATTACTGCCCATGATGCTTTTCTTTTGACAACCAGTACAAAGCTTGTCAGCCACCCAGGCATACTCCTCACCTCTAACCCATACGGAGTTGTCACCCCCTGTGTGTCTGCAAAGAACATTAAAATGATTGCTGCCCATGGCATCTTCTCACTTTGGTTAAATCCCCCTGTAACTAAGCTTTTGCATTGAGCTGCTCTCTTTGTTAGACTCAATGGTGTTGTAAGAGTGTCACAGCTAAACTTGTTTCCTGTGGGTTATTTGGAAGTTTGTTAATGGTGCACTAATTCCTGAATGTTAGGTCCACTTGGTATTCAGATGAAGTATGGCATGCATTCCAAGGGCGAGAAAGTTCCGTAGTTCCTGAATTCTAGACCAAGTATGGCATGCGTTCCAAGGGTGAGAAAGTTCCGTAGTTCCTGAATTCTAGACCAGCTTTTAAGAGCATCTGAAAGAATGTGGAGAAGAGCATGGCACTTCCTGCATCTTAACCAGTTTCTCAGGATGCCACATTCTAAAACCACTCTTAGTAAATATTGCTCTGTATACGAAGCTTGGACTCCGTCAGAACTACTTCTGTTGTAAGCATAAATGTTTAAAGGAATTTATTATTAATACTAGTATTAGCTTCTCTTTGAGTGCTTAGTACATGAGGGCACTTTTTAAGCACTAAATGTCTATTAGCTCGTTTATACTCACAGCTCTCCTAGAAGATGGCTGTTAAGATCCCCACTGTTGGCACAGGAGATTGAGGCTCGGGGTGACTAGGTGTATGCCCAGGGTCATACAGGTAGTAAGTGGCAGGAGAAGGGCTTGAACCCCGGTCTTTTCAAATCTAAATTTCGTTCTTGGCGGTTTTGCTCAATTACTTACCTTTTATTCCACCCAAGATGGAAATCTTTTTTCCCCCTCTAGTTATAGAATAGAAGGTCATTTAAAAAAAAAAAAAAAAAATTCCAGAGTAGAAGACTATAAGCAAATAAAACTCACTTCTAATCCTTTTACTCAGAGAACCTTTGTTAACATATTGGGGTATGTGTCCTTCCATTATTAAGTATTGGATATTAAAAGGATTTATGTGGCATTTATAATCTGCTTTTTTCCCTTTGGATTTCTTGTGAGAGCCTTTTTGTGTTGTCATGGTGGTTCTGCACCAGCATTTTCAAGGCCTCCGTAGCATTTCATCGTATGGCTGCATTTTAATCACTCCCTGTGAATGGCTGAACTGATTTTTAACACAAGGGTACAGGTGCCTGTTACTGTGGCCTGGGCTAAACAACATTTAAAAGCTTTGGATGAAAAATACCTGTTTGCTTTTAATTAAAAAAGAAAAAAATTATTTAGAAGTGGTAGTGTGTGTTTTGAATCACAAATATAGTTTGTTTTTTAACATAATTTTTTTAAGGAATAAGATTTCTAAGCTCTTAACAGAATGTGAATCACTTTTTAGGAGCTGTTGGACAAATATCTTATTCCCAATGCTACACAACCAGAAAGTAAGGTGTTCTACTTGAAAATGAAAGGGGATTATTTTAGATATCTTTCTGAGGTGGCATCTGGAGACAATAAACAAAGTAAGTAACACTTTAAAAAGAAATTTGACTGACAGTGGAGTGAATTTTCCTTCATATGACTTAACGGTTTAGCTTAGTCTGTTGCCTATAGACGCTGGCTGCACTGCATTCTGAATTTACAAGCCCACAGCATTGTGCTGACCTGGGACAAGTCAGAATGTAGCTGAGGGGCAAAATAGGGAGGTTCTTACAAGTCTGATGTAGCGTGCTCTTCAGGAGCTCTAGGTCTTGTTGTTGGAAATATGCGCAGCAAAACATAAACCGATTCAGTAATCTCGGCGCATATAATTCAGTGACATCGATGACGTTCTTCAGATCGTATGATGATTCTCACCCTCCTTTTCTGAATTGTTCCTCCTCCGTTGACATAAACTCACTGTGATGTTTAGCTTGAGGATTATTTGGTTATTCTCTTTTTAGAGGTGAAACTTTAAATGTTTGTTGGTATAAAACTACTACCATTATGATGTACTTTCATCACACATCATTGTGATAGTGATAATTATAGCTATACTTAATAGAGTGGTGTAGCGCCTAAAGCATTTGACTGCTAACCAGAAGGCTGGTGGTTCAAACCCACCAGCCACTGTCAGAAGGAAGATTCGGCAATCTACTTCCATAGTGATACTGCCTCGGAAACCCAAGGAAGGCATCGCTACAAGTCGGGACTGACTCAAGGCAGCCTAGTTCGGTTTTCTTTTCTTTTTTTTTTTTCTTTGACTAGGTGCCAAGTACTTCAGAGTCTTTGTCCTCACACAACCCTGTTTTTTTGGGTGGGAGACTGCTCATTTTCTGATAAGGAAACGGAGGCTCAAGAACGGAGGCTTAGGGAGGGAAGCTACACTTGTAGTGATTGAGAGTTGAGAATTTAAGTTTGGGTTTGGGCCTGTTGACTCCAAAGTCCATGATCTTTCCACTAGAACATGTTGTTTTTCACATTTTATCTTGTTAAAGGTTATTTCTGTATTCCTTAACTGCTTTGGTAGACTTTGTCGTAATTGTCTTTGTTTTCCTCCAAAGCTGTTTAATAGAGCACTCAGGTTGGAAAAAGCATTTAAAAGTATTCATTGAGTGGTAGGGACACTGACGCCTCATTTAATGGGACATTTGCTTGGGTCTAGTGTGGTAAAACAATTTGATAGTGGATCCGGTATGATGCAACTTTTTATTTTTTAGCCCAGCCATTAATTTTGTTCATCTTTCTTCTAGCCACTGTGTCAAACTCCCAGCAGGCTTACCAGGAAGCATTTGAAATTAGCAAGAAAGAAATGCAGCCCACACACCCAATCCGACTTGGCCTGGCCCTAAATTTCTCAGTCTTTTACTATGAGATTCTAAATTCTCCTGAAAAGGCCTGCAGTCTGGCAAAAACGGTGAGAAAGACTTTCTCTGTGGCTTCTGATCAGAGTGCTTGAACCTTTTAATAACTTGTTTTTATAATCTGAGTATAACTGGTCTTGGACTTTTGTGGAGATTTGTGTGTGGGTGGGAGTATTTCTCTTAGGCAACAAATACAGACCTCTTACTGTCTCATTTTTTCTTCTCAACACCTGCTGATTTTGGTTTGATTGCTGAGTTTTTTTTTGTTGGATGAATTGTTGGGAGGGAGAGGTGGCAGAAAATTGAGGATGGCGGTGCGTCGTTGGCTGCTGCCTCTCCAGCTGTCATCCTTTGTCGTCCTTGTGTCACGTTCGTGGTCGTGTCTGCGTAAATGAAAGAGGTTGGACCATGTTTTTCTTGGTGTGCTGATGACCTTTACCTCCTATGTGTGTGTGTTTTTGGTAACCCAACGGCCTTAGTTTATAATTTCATTTTTGTTGAAAGTATACATAGCAGAACATACACCAATTCATGTTTTTACATGTAGTGTTCGCTGACATTGGTTACATTCTTTGAGTTGTGCAGCAATTCTCAGCCTTCTTTTGTGTGTTCCTCTCCCATTAACATAAACTCAATGCTCCCTAAGTTTCCTATCTAATCTTTCAAGTTGCTGTTGTCAGTGTGACCCATGTATATAGCTCTTAAAAAAGCCCAGTGCTCAAGGCAGATGTTGAATTCAGCAGTTAAGCTAAACTGTTGTTTGGTTTTCAGATCACCTCGGGATATTTTTGGTTTAAGGTTTAAAGATTATCCCAGGGCAGTCACTCTGGGTGTACATCAGCATCTGTGGCTCCAAAACAATCTAGAGTCCATGAGAATTTGAAAATGTGTTTTGTGTCTTCCCCCTTTTGGTTAAAGATTCTTCTGTAGAATTAGAGATTGGTTGCTTTTACAAGGCTCTGGGGAAGGAGTTTTCTCCCAGACAGTATCAGTGATTGTAGTTAATTTACACCAGGTGGCAGTGGTGTCCTGGAGAAAGAGTTCAAGCAGAAGGGACTAATACTTAGCACGCCACTTTTACTATGCTATACAATGTCATTGCCAAGGCACCTGACTGCTAACCAGGAGGCTGGCGGTTCAAACCCACCAGCCACTCCTCGGAAGGAAGGTTGGGCAATCTTACTTCCGTAGTGATAACTGCCTTGGAAACCCAAGGAGGGGTCACTTGGAGTCGGGCCGACTCGATGTCAAACAACAACAACAACATACAACATCATTAAAATAATCCATTGATCATTTAAATATCTAGTGGTTTAATTATTTATGTATAAATCTTTTAAATATAGGTGTCTTAAATGAATTTTAAGTTTCATCATTATCAAATTAAATTTAGTGATAGGAGCTTCTCTTTCTCCCTTTAACCTTTATAGCCAGAGCTTCTGATTATTAGTTTTTTGTGTTTGTTTTTTTAAGGATTACTTATGAGCAATGTCTTTGTAATTAAAATTCAGAGGTGAATGTGCTAGATGCTGCATTAACAGTAGAATCTGCAGAGTTGTTGGGTCCCACAGACTTTTTAGGAATTTTGTCATTGGTGGTAGTGCTTTGTAAACATACATGATACATTTGCTGATAATTTATGATAGCCTGTGTTCCCCTAAATACTTCATAGCAAGAGAAATTACATTTACTTATTAGTAGAAAAAAATTGGGCTAAACTTGCTGTAGAGAATCTGTAAATTCTTTGCTTAAAGCTTCTTTGTTTTAGGCCTTCGATGAGGCAATTGCTGAATTGGATACACTGAATGAGGAGTCTTACAAAGACAGCACCCTGATCATGCAGCTACTTAGGGACAATCTCACTGTAAGTATTGCTAATTTCAGGTACTTCTGCATGGTTTATTATCTCTTTCCTAGTTAATTACTAGCTCTTATCCCAGAATCTAAAGGGGATTTGTGCCCTGTTAAGTGTAGTTAAAGATGTTCTGGTGGTACAGTGGTTAAAGCATTCAGCTGCTAACCAGAAGGTCAGCAGTTTGAACCCTCTAGCTTCTCCATGAGAGAAAGATGAGGCAGTCTGCTTCTGTAAAGATTTACAGCCTTGGAAATCCTATAGGGCAGTTGTACTCTGTCCTCTAGAATCACTATGAGTTGGAATCAACTCAATGACAGTGGGTTAGTGTTACTAAAATTTTAAATTGTTCGATAGCGACCTTTGCAGTCATCGTTTGCAGTGATACAGGAAGAATCTTAAACAGTTGTGTGAGTCAGATGTATCCTGACAGTGCCACCTGGGTAACTTTGTAGCCCAATTTTGATTGTATTATAATTTTTTCTCTTGCAGCTGTGGACGTCGGAAAACCAGGGAGACGAAGCAGACGCTGGGGAGGGAGAGAACTAAGGTCCGCCGTGCTTCGTGGTCTGCTCAGCGTCACTCTGTACCTTCCACATGTGTCCCTTTGTGCGATTAAAAAACAAAAACAGAATCGTACGTCGATTCTCGATTTTTCACAGCCTCAGCCTAGCAAAAATGGCCCATGGGATGAATAGCTGGTATTTGGATCTAAAACTCAGATTGGTCACATAAATGCCACGGCATTCTGAAGTTTTGATTTTGATTCACACTGACAGGATTACCGTGTGTTACTTTTTTTTTTTTTTTTTTAACTGAACACTGTGATTATGGGGTTTTGTAACTTAGCAGAACTCTTACTGGTAGAAAAAATAGACCTGAATTATGTGTAACTTTTTGGAAAGTTTAATCTGATATCAAAATAGTCACTGAAATGCAATTCCGTTGTAAAGTTGTACAGAAAGTTATAAAGATTATATTGTGACGCTGGGACTTGGAGTGAGACACCTATCATTTGGCATTTGAGTTCATGGTAACTCAGTAATTCTGCCTGTTGTTCGGGGTTTACAGACACTTGACCAGTTTGGGCTGGTGCCACTCATGATCACGAACGTCCATAGTGTCATCTTCTGAGAAAACGCAAAGCCTGAAATTCTTTGTGGCAGGTAACTGGGTTATGACACAGTAAGAAGGTCCTGTGCTCACAGAACACAAGTGGCTAACTGCCCCCTTCCTATACAGTATGTTCTCAATTTGCAATTTGTGCTTCAGTAGTGGAATCTGTTTTCCTTACAACCACCGAGCTAAAGAAAAAAAAAGCTGTGTGTCTTAGGAATGGCCTGTTTACTGGATAATTCCTTTAAGAGTAATATTCTGCAGAAATTGCCTTTCCTTTGAGGAGTATGCAAATCTTTGGGTTCTTCCTAGTTTGGGGCTTTTAAATTTTGAAATGTAAACATTCTTCCCACTGTCTTTTTTTTTTTTTTAGGGGGGGAGGGGCTGTTCACTGACTTTCTCTTCCCTCTTTAAATTTCTGCCTTCTGCCTCCTGACTTTTTTTTTCTTTTTGAAGTCTCTTTGTCTTTTGTTCACTGTTTAACGCTAATATGGGCAGAGATGGGGGATTGGAACGGGGAGAGAAGTTGGTGAGCAGGCCTTGCTAAAGAGAGTTGCCAGCATCCTAGCTCCGTCTCTTCCTCCAGTTCTCGGCACGGATGTGGAAACGAAAAGTATTTTTAAATACCCATGATTTCTCCCTGTAACGTAGCCAGCCCTGGTAATGCTTGTTAGTACTCGTCACTGGATCGCCCAAGTGTACTCATCCAGCTGAATTCCCAGGCGTGTTTAAACAAGACCCTATAATGCAGGGAAGTTGCATGAACACTGCCGTGGAGAGAGTCAAGACTAGCCGACCTATCCATCTCACAGTATCACCCCTCTACCCTTAACATTCCATGTACCTGTAGGGTCCATCTGTTTGTCCATCTGCTGAAATGAGAAAAGAAAAATCCATGCACTGATTTAAAACAAACCAAAAAAAAAAAAAAAAAAATCCCCTTCTCTTCCTAGCTGAACAAAAATGTGCAGTTAATACTCGGCGCTTGATAAATGCAGTAGTGAATGTGGAACCGAGCCTGTCTGTATATCTGGTAGCTCTTTCTTGCTTTGTTTTTCCTTACCAGTATTCTGCCTACCGTTTGCTTCTGTGATGGTTATATTGCCTAGCAAGCACACTTGTGGTTGTGAAAATAGTATAGCAAAAAAAGAAAAATCCCTGGTTATTGATGTACTAGATTTGTGTATGTCTTTTAAACAGTTCTAGTTTCACCTTACACGGAATAATCAGGAAAAGTGTAAAAATTCAAAAGTGAAATAAATTTTATCAGTTAGTTGCCTGTGAACTGGTGTGTCACTCCGTCTCTCTCACTACCAGAACTAGCTAGCTATCCTGATCACACATTTTCAGCCCTACCCTTTATTTAAAAGTCGGCAACAGTTAATCTCACCCTTTAGAACCATTTAGAACCAAGTCAAGATGTTGTCAGAGAACAAAACGACCATCAGTTAACACAGACTTATTTCCACCTGATGCTGCTTCTTCACCTTCCCCTACAGACCCTCCTGGTGTTAAGCCCTCTTTTGTGACTGCTAAGTTTTGGTATGGTCAGTTATTTCACATACCATTCAAGACCACTGCGTCAAGGCCTTGCCTTTTTTCTACCTGGAGATGTAACCAGGCAATGAGAGATGGCTGCACAGGGCTCGGTTATCTCCAAGGTTGTACCAGCTATCATCTGTCCTAATGTTTGTTGCTTATTGTTAAGCTGTAGCTCTGTGTTTCTTAATGGGGTTTGCCCCCTCCTCAAGATGTGCACGCCCATAAACCAAACCCACTGCCATGGAGTGGATTCCAACTCACAGCAACCCTGTGGGACGGAGTAGAACTGCCCCATCGGGTTTCCAAGGCTGTGGATCTTTACAGAAGCTGCTGCCTCATCTTGTTCTTGTGGATTGGCTGGTGGGTTTGAACCACTGACTTTTTGGTTAGCGACCAAATGCTTTAACCACTGCACCAGGAGAGCTCTTTCCACTCCTGTAAGGAGAGAAAAATTCAGGTTAGAGGGTGATTTTTATAGCCCAAGATCAGAATAGATTGGGGTTTGAAGCTGTGAAGCTGGCCGGCCAGCCAGCTTTCCTTCCTCCTGTCCGGGGCTCTGTCCCAGCTGTCCAGTGAAACCACACCCAACCTAAGGTCAGTGGTCCCCACCTGCTTGCTACTACAGCTGGAAGCCAAGAGAGTTCTCAAGGTGAAGTTTCTGGTCCACAATGGAGTAGGATTTTTTAAAAGTGGCCCTTATGCCACAGGTAATTTGAGGCTATAAGCTTTTCTCTCAGGTTGGCAAGGGGTCTTGTTCAGTCTGGGGCCACCACCTCAGCCTTGCTCTCCTATTGGGCTCTTCCTGTTCCCACTGGGCTTCAAACTGGTGCATCCCAGTTCCACACAAGCTGAAAATTTGCGTTTAGATCCCAGATACACTGAATCAAAATCTATGTTTTAACAAGATCCTCAGGTGATTCTTACCCATAAACAGCCACATGGCCTGCGATCAGAGTAATTGGTGAGCCTTGGGTCCCCAGGTGGAATGACTAGCTTAGCCCAGAGATGAGATGAGCAGGGAATGTCCCAGAAGGCCGTGGCAGTTGAAGAACAAGTGTCATGAGGAAGGGTGGTGGCCCTGGATGCCCCTCACGTGGACCCTTTCTCCCGACATTCCCTAAGTCATAAAACCTGGTTTGCTGTTGATGGAGAAAGGCTGAACTGGATCCAGGCAATGCTTAAAAGACGTCTTTCAGGGGCAGTATGAACTCCTACACAAGCTTTGAAGCAGCTCCCACCTCGGGATTCTAAGTCCCCTTTGTGCTTGAAACATGCAGAAAAAGCACCGTCCTGTGTCCTTGCAAAGATGGAATCCTCCGTGTTTTACGGAAAAAGAAAGGACTAGAACCCCAGCCTCCTGTCGCCCCAGTCCTCCGCCCTTCTGGACGGAGACGCCCAGAGCTCCACCCACGTCCCCCCAGCCTAACTCTGCCATCGGGAGGGCTTTCCCCGCCGCCCCCCGCGGCGGGATTGGAGAACTTCCACCCGAAGCTTCCAGAACGCACAGGGGGCCCAGGTGCGGTGGGGTGAGGGGAGGACTTCCGGGGCGGGCGCGCCCTTGATTGACCCGCAGGGCCCCGGCGGTTTAAAGAAGGGGCAGGTAGCCCTCGGGTCGGAGAGAGCCTCGCGCTCCCTGCGTCCCAGGCTCCCGTCCGTGTGAGCCGACACGGGCGCCGTCCGGCAGGGGGCGCTCCTAGGAGCGCGGGGTTCGCTCGGTGACCCGGCAGCTCCTCCTCCCCCAGCTCACGCCGCCGGCCATGAACACGAGCGGCCCGAGCTACCCGCTGGCTTCGCTCTACGTGGGCGACCTGCACGCCGACGTGACCGAGGCCATGCTCTACGAGAAGTTCTTGCCGGCTGGGCCCATCCTGTCCATCCGCGTGTGCCGGGACGTGGTCACCCGCCGCTCGCTGGGCTACGCTTACATCAACTTCCAGCAGCCGGCCGACGGTGAGCCGCGGGGGAGAGGGGACAGACTGTCGGCCTTCGCAGCTGGGCCCACCGCCTCCTCGGCCACTTGCATCTCTGGCCGCTCCTGCGTCTTCCATTTTGCAGCCAGGGAAACTAGGTGCAGAGATAATGGACCCTGCTCCTGAGACAGGTAGTGCCTAAGGCATGGGCTAACCAAAAGACTGGCGGTTCAAACCCACCAGCCACTTCTCGGAAGGAAGACTGGGCAATCTACTTCCGTAGAGATACCGCCTGGGAAACCCAAGGAGGGGTCGCTATGAGTCTGGACTGACTTGACGGCAGTGAATTTTTTTTTTTTTTTTTTTTAAACTGTATGTTTTACTCGTGTTGCTCTATTTTATAAATGACAGATAGACCGAGGGAATAGCAAAGAGCGTCGGGGTGAGGCCTTCCTGGGACAGACACCCAGCAGATGTCTGAGTTTGGACGAGTTACTGGTCCACTCTGAGCCTCGGTTGCCTCTTCGGATAAAAGGGGTCGTAACTGCCTTGTAGGAGTTCTGGTGGCGCAGTCCCTAGCTTTAGCTAACAAAAAGGTCGGCGGTTCCACCCCACCCACCACTAGCTCCTCTGCAAGAGAAAGATGAGGAGGCAATCAAGTTCTGTGAAGACTTAGAGCCTTGGAAACATTATGGGGCAGTTCTGTATCCTATAGAGTAGCCATGCAGTGGAATTGACTTGATGACTGTGGGTTTGTGTTTTCCTTTGGTAACTTCCTCCTAGAGTGGTTATGAGGGTAGGAGATGTAGAACACCTGGTGAGGAAGATGCCCAAGGAGACACAGCTGGTGAATGGGAAGCCAGGAGGGCTGAGGCCTGAGGTCTGCACCTGGTGCCTGGCAAAGCCTCATTCATGTCCAGGCTCCAAACGGGTTTCTCAGAGCTGATAGGAGAGATCACAGTTTATCTGTTGGGTGTGCCTACACTTGTGTTGAGAACGTCCAGAATAAAGATTGAGCGCACCCGTTTGGGCATCAGCTGTACCACTAGGGTATGATCTTGAGTAAGACTTGTCTAGGCACCTCAGTTTCTTCATCTGTAAAATGGGGCTATGATTTATTCCCCAATGACATGGGACGAATGGAGAACTGGTGTCTATATAGTATCACCTATGCAAGCACTCAGTAAGTGATAATCTAGGAAAAATAACAAAACCACCTCCCCCCCCCCAAAAAAAAAAGAAACAAACAAAACCCACTGCCATGGAGGCGATTCAACTCACAACGACCCCCATTGGGTTTGCAGGGCTCTAAATCTTTACGGTAGATTGCTTCATTTTTCTCCTGTGGAGCATCTGGTGGGTTTGAGCTTCCAAGCTTCTGGCTTATCAGTCAGATGGCTTCCCTGCTGTACAACCAGGGCTCCTTAAGGAAAAATAAATAATGGTAGTTAAACATGTACAGATGCACTTAAGATACCAGAAGCATAATCAAAAGAGGTTTACCCCCAGCCAAGTCAAAAGAGGGCACTCTTACTCTATGTTTTCTGGGTGAGTGGGGCTGTTTGGCTGACTGAGGCTTATAGGGTGGTGCAGTTGTTCTGCAGAGCTTGTTTCCTGGCAGGTGACTGGGCTGGGTTGGATTCCAGGGGGCTTCCCCTTGGCTCTGCTTTTCCCCACCATTGCCGCCTCCCGTCTTCTCAGCCCTGTGAGTGAAGCAGAGCCTCACGTTCTTTGCTTGCTTCACAGATGGGGACGCTGATCTCCAGAGAGGAGGGATTTTGCCACTGCAGTTTATGGTGGGACTAGGCACAGTATTCAGACCTCCTGAAGCTTGTTCCACTGGCTTCCCCACACACATCCCCTCCCATCCCCTTAAACCAGGGGAGACCCTGGAGCAGAGACAGGCTGTGGCAGTGGCAAGAGAATGGGCATAGGCTGTGGTTTCAGACACTGTACCTGGTGGCTTCGTAGCACTTGGCTGCTAACCACAATGTCAGTGGTTTGCACGCAGCCAGAGGCTCTGCAGGAGAAAATACCTGGCAATATGCTCCTGTGCAGATTAAAGCCTAGGGGATTCTATGGGGCAGTTCTGCTGTCACATTGGGTCACTATGAATCAGAACTGACTCAACAGCACACAAGTTTCCCAAAAAGTCCCTGGGTAGTGCATAAGTTAACGTGCTTGGCTGCTTACCTAAAGGTTGGAGGTTTGAGTCCTGCCCCCCACCAGGCGCCTCAAAAGAAAGGCCTGGTAGTCTACTTCTGAAAAGTCAGCCATTGAAAACCCTGAGGAGCACAGTTCAGTTCTGACGCCGGGGGCGCCGTGGATTGGCGTGGGCTGGATGGTGACTCTGTTTACCTAATGCCTGCTTTGTGCCAGGCACAAAGCACAAGGCCCCTTGTATACCTTACCTCACATAACTTTCAATGTGTGCAACAACCTGGAGCTAGCTGGGATACCTTTGGCAGATGTGCAAAAGCAGGTAATGTCGTCGTCATCTCAGTTTTACAGGTGAGGAAATAGGCTCGGAGAGCTAACGTTCATTGTCCTCAAAGCCACTGTTTGGGATTGAATCTCAGCTCTGCTGCTCAGCACCTCAGGTTTCCTCACACTGCTGCCATCCCATGGCATGTGGGCCCCTCCAGTCTACTCAGCGTGCTTTAGAGGGCTGAGTGGACCTAGCTTTGCCACTGACCTTTTGCCTCTCTGACCTTCAGTTTTCCCATCTATAAAATGGGGGTGGGAGTCCATGCTCATGTGGCTACAATGAGGAGTTGCATGAGATCACACTTGAGAGGTAGGAGCACTGTAAACATTCATTTTTTTTTTTCTGCTTACCCCTCCTGAGCCTTTAGGCTCTCATCTCAGTGAGATTCAAACAGTGACTCTGGCTCCCAGGTGAGCATGATGGCTCACCTTGGTGGCTCAAGGAAAGAAGGTCCCCTTAACTTGCTCTTTTTCTCGTCCTTGTCCAGCGGAGCGGGCACTGGACACAATGAACTTTGATGTGATCAAAGGCCAGCCGATCCGCATCATGTGGTCCCAGCGAGACCCAGGACTCCGCAGGTCGGGTGTGGGCAACATCTTCATCAAGAACCTGGAGGACTCCATTGACAACAAGGCCTTATACGATACCTTCTCCACCTTCGGGAACATCCTCTCTTGCAAGGTGCATGTACTTCTTTGGAAGCGTCTGTGCCAAATACCTGTGTGGTAGAGGGATGCCAAGCCACACCTCACTTTTTTTTTTTTGTCACTTTGTATTTTACACTGTCCTTTGTATAAAACATACACTTGAACGGTAGCTGTTCTTCCACTATTCATAACATCATCAGAGGTTACCTGTGTATCAGCATGCCAATCTTAATGCCTGTAAACAACAACCATTTATTTAGTTCATAATTCTTTAGTTGGCAATTGGGGCTGGGTTCAGCTGGACAGTTCTTTTGGTTTTGTCTGGGCTCCCTGATACCTGCACTGAGGTCAGCTGGATGACTCTGCTTCTAGGGATGGGCTGGCTGGCAGCTGGGGCATCTCAGCTTTCCTCCCTGTAGTCTTTCCTCCTCCAGCAGACTAGCCCAGGCAATGACAGACTAGACTAGACTAGAAGCTGACGAGGCTTCTTAAGGCCAAAGCTTGGAATTGGTATACCCTCACTTCCACTGAATTCTGTTGGCCAACAGAGATCCAAGACCAGCTCGGATTCAGAATGAGGGGAAAGTTACAGAACAAAAGATAAGGCTATAAGGAGCCTGTTAATTGGGGCCATTAAGGAAGGCAGTGGACTCGCCTTTGTAAAAATCTGTAGTGAACAGTTTTACATGGGCTTATGAAATTGTTCACTACAGATTAGTAAGCACATGTAAATGTGCTTACCTTACTTCTGGGTACTCCATCCCATGAGGGATTGCAAATTTGACAAGCCAAAAAAAACCCCACGACCATCGAGTTGATTCCAACTCACAGTAACTCCCTTTGGGTTTCTAAGGCAGTAAATCTTTATGGAAGTAGATTGCCCAGTCTTCCTTCCATGGAGTGGCTGGTGGGTTTGAACTGCCAACCTTCTGGTTAGCAGTCAAACGCCTTAGGCATTTGATAAAGATAAGCAGAAGGATAAGCACCACCAGAGTTCCTTGCAGATTTGAAAAGAGTCTTTGATTCCGTAGGAAGGTGCTGTGGGATTGGGAGAGAGACAAGCCAGCCATACCTAGAAGCAGAATCTTCAATGTGAAAATATGAAATTGTTTACTACAGATTAGTATGCACAAGTAAGCACATGCTTACCTTGTTTATTGGGTAATCAGACACTGTTAAGCTCCATGAACACCGTGAGCTTGTTCTTACTCCTCATTTATTGTTGTGTCTAGAGTAAGACCTGACAGACAGTAGGTGCTTAGTCAGTATTTGTTGACCAAATGGATATATTACCATTTGAGAATGTCTTGGGTAGTTTCTGACGTTGTAGAAAAGGAGATTGGAATCCAGTCATACAGCAGGTTAATGCCTGACCAGAGGGCTCTTAAACCTGGGTGTTTTGCCTGTAGATGTTATGAGAATGTCTAGTTCTTTGCGCCTTTGACGTGTATCCTTCTGGGGAAGCCTGGGGGGTTGATTTCAGTCTCTGTGTCAGAACTCCTATTTGAGCACCTGCTGTGTGCCAGGCATAATCCTTGGGTTCCCAAGTAGGCTTCACGGCCTCCTTTTGGTTTTCTTTTCCGGCTGTTGACCAAGTTTCTTTTGTGTGTGTGTGTGTGCTTTTGGTGAATCCTTTGACAATTTCTATACACGTTGTTCAGTGATAATAGTTAAATTTTTCAGAACGTGTCAACATTGTCTTTGCATTCTGGTGGTTCCGTTTCCAGTGCTCTGGTTTCCGTGCCCCCATCTCATCTTTGCTTTAGAGTAAATGGCCACCTTTGGGTGTCATTTAGATGGTTTTTCAGTAGAGCACCATCCTTACGGGTAACATCCTTTCTTTTGTGTGCCACTCTGTTATTTCACTGAAAGGTGATCTCGAGATAGTTCCGGTTCAAGGTTTAAGAGTTGAGTTTCTTGGGGGGCTGCCCTGGGGTCTGTGGTCTCGGTTGGTCTGGTAAGTCTGGGCATTTTTTTTTCTCTTAAGGGTTTGTGTTGTAATCTTTTCCATTCTATCTGGAACTCTCTTGTGACTCTTGTCCGGACGGTCAGTGGTGGTAGCCAGGCACCATCTAGTTCTGGTGTCTATGTAGATGAGACCGTGGCGCGTGTAGGCTATTAACCCTGTAGACTTGTTCCTTCTGAGACTTCGATTTCCTTCTTCCTCTTTTGTTCCTGGTGGGTAGATGCCAAGAGTTGTGTCTTAGATGGCCACCCACAAGCTTCTAGACCCCAGATGCTGCTCACTTCACTAGGATGCAGAACATGAGCTTTGTGAGCTATGTTATGTTGTCTCATGAGACATGGTCCTAATCTTTCAGAGCTGTAAAACCAGTCTCACAAGGTGTTTGGTTATGTATGAGAAGTATCCGTTATGCTGTTCTCTCTGAATATTTGTGCCTTCATTGGTTATGCATGAGAAGTATCCATCATGCTGTTCTCTTCTGAATATTTGTGCCTTCATATGCATATCAGTGCTTCGCAGTGCCGTCTACTTGGATCCAACTCATAGCGACCCTGCCTTGGGTTTCTGAGGTGGTATCACTACGGAAGTAGATTGCCTAACCTTCCTTCCGAGGAGTGGCTGGTGGGTTTGAACCACCAGCCTTCTGGTTTGTAGTCAAATGCCTTAGGCACTATGCCACTGGAGCTACATACAGATATTTCTACCTGTGTACACATGTGTACACCTGTACCTAGCCATATACATACATGCCTATACATACATATATGTGGCCATACACACTAGTATTTTGGTCATTGTTGGTGTTGTTGCCAGATTCTGTATGTCACGTTCTTTAGCACAAGCATCCTGTTCTCTTGAGTACATCTTAGTGACGTTGTTTCCTCTGGTCAGGCTGTGCTCACTACACTCATGTTCAGTGCTACTTTTCCAGTCACCAAAAATAACGAACTGTAGTCTAGAATGTAATTTGCTCTCCCCTCCTTAACCTCCTCTCTGGTAACCACCAATGAACATTGGTCACTCTCTATATCTATTCTTATAAAAGTGAGATCATACAGTATTTGTCAAGCAGTCTCCTTAAATGAGGGATTGTCCCTGTAACTCAGAGGAGACTGAGGCTTGGAGAGGTGCAAAGGGTTCTCCATGATAAAGAGAACAGGCTGTGTTCTGTCTTTGAGGACCAAAGAAGAGAGAGACTCCTTAATTGGGTGGTAAGTTCTTATAATAATAGCAGATTTATCAAGTGGTTCTGGGTGCTCAGTTCTCTGCATACATGGCCACATTGAATTCCTCACAGCAGCCCCTTAAGATGTAAATGGTATGATCCCTGAGTTACATTTGAAGACAGAGAATCAGATCAAAGAGGCCACTTGCCGGGGTTACATGGGAGGGGTAGAGTGTGAGTGGTAGAGCCAGGATTTGAACCAACACACTTGCCAGATTGTTGTTAGTTGCCTTGAGTAGGCTCTGGTTCATGGCAGCCTCATGTATGGCAGAACAAAACATTACCCAGTGCCACACCATCCTCATGTTGGAGTCCCGTTGCGAGCTTAGTTGGAGCTAACATAACAAGGAATAGCACATCTTCCCCTCTTGCCAGGCCTTGAGGCTTCCTTTGGGTCACTGCTGGTTGGACAGAAAGGCAGTGTTACTCGGGAAGTCTTTGCAGGCCTCCTGAGGTCCTTTTGTGGTCCCTACCTTTGAGGAGCTCTCAGGCTGGTGGGAGGTGGTGAGACTTTAGGAATAACCAGAAATTGGGCCCTGAGGGAAAAGCAGTAGTGATTAGTGTTGTCAGAGGGCCAGTAGGGAGAGAGCCATGTGGCTGGTTATAGTGGGAAAGAGGACCAGACCTGAGTCAGGCCACCCAAACACAGATCCCAGCCTCTTAGCAGAGGCAGCATGACATAGTGGGTCAGACTGTGGACTTCAGGGCCAAACTTCCTGGGTTCAAATCTCTTCCACTGACTCTGCAACCAACAAAATAAGACAGACAGACCGCAATTGCTGTCGAGTGGATTCCAGTCCAGTATGTCAGAACTGTGCATCATAGGTTTTTCAATGGCTGATTTTTTTGAAAGTGGATCACCATGGTGTTTCTGGGTGGACACAACTCTCTAATCTTTCCTCTTAAAAGGGCACTGATAGAACCTACTTCGTTGTGTTGTTGTGAAGGTTAACTGAGTTAATCCCTTCATTGCCCTTGACAGGAACTTGGCATACTGTTAGGCATCTAAAAAATAACTTCCTGAGGTTGACTAACCTTAGACAAGTCATTATTCCCACTTCCCCCAATAAGGCAGATGTGGCTTAGAAGTTAAGAATTGCTTGGAAGGGTGTTCATGGCAGATATGACAAGATCAGTGTATGTTGCTCTTAGCAGGTGCTTGACTCAAAGTGGGTCAGCCAACATGCATTAAATCTGAATAGAAGAGCTAGGTTGAAAGTGGAAGGATGCTGTTTGGGGCTGGAGAGTTGGAGAGGTATGTGATGGTATGGGTTTGGAAATAGGACTTGTGCAGGAGAGTCTTGTCTGGCCAATCAGTAAGCCTCAAAAGCCAAGTTGATAGAGTTCTGTAGATAGTAGGAGCTACTAGAGGTTAAGTCCTAAAAGGATGCGGTCAGAATTGTGTTCTGGAAAGAGGCGCCCAGTGGTGAGCATGGAAGCTAGATTGGGAGACTGGTCTTCTTAGGGGGACATAGGGGAAAGTATCACTTAAGTGAGCTCTGGGGTATTGGCTGCAGGCATAGGTGGAGCTGCTGACACCTGGAAAAGTCACTGAGATCAGGGTTAGAGGTCTTAGTGCAAGTTCAGAAAAGGATGGGGCTGAGCTAAAGTGAACAAGAAGACCCTGCTCCATTCTCAAGTCAGTGCTTGCACCTTGAGTTTGGGAGGGTTACAGAATGAGAATAGGATGTTTGTGCATCTTTTGAAAAGTTGAAATAATACATTAAGTGGTAAGATGTAAATAATGTGAAAGACAATAAAGTTTAAAAAAATAAAAACCAACTTTTTTTTTTTTTTTTTAAATCTCTAGAAATAATTGTTAGGAACACTTTTGTGTGTGTCTATTATAAAGCTTCCTACTTTAGCCCAGTTAGGCTTGATTCTCCCCACCCCCCTTTCATGTAACAATAACATAACAGATAATTCCAGATCAGGTGTGTAATCTGTGTAATCACATAGCCTGTAACCACATTCTCTTTAGTTCTGCACATTCAGTAGAATAGTCTTAAGTGTACTATAATTTATTTAACCAGTCTTCTCTGGGTGAGACTCAGGTCACTTCTAATTTACTGTTAGAAACAAGGATGCAGGGGCCCCAAATAGCCAAAGCAGTATTGAAAAAGAATAAAGTAGGAGGACCCACACCTGAGATTTTAAAACATACTATAAAGCAGTGGTAATCAAAACAGCTTGGTACTGGTATAAATAATGATAGACATATAGAACAGTGAAACAGAACTGAGTGTCCAGAAATAAACCCATACATCTCTTGGATTTTTGACAAAGGTGTTAAGCCCATTCTATGGGGAAAGAAGAGTCTCCTATTCTATAGTTTTAAAAATACATTTAATACAACATCTGTCAATTCAGCATTTTTCAAGTATACAATTACTATATTATTCATGTTGTGCAACCATCACCCATAACTGTTACCAAGTTTTCCATCACCATAAACAAATATTCACACCTTCATAAGTAATGCCTCTGCCTTTCCTTCTACCGCCTGCGCCTGGTAAACACTTAACAAATGTTGGCTTATCCACCTTTGCTTAGATCATAACATTATTTGTCCTTTGGGATTGACTAATTACACAGAGCATTATGTTTTCATGGTTCATCCATGTTGTGGCATTTCTCTTTATGGCTGCATAGTATTCCATTGTATGTATGTATCGTATTTTGTTTATCAGTTCATCTCTTGATGGACATTTGTTTCCACATTTTGGCTGTTGTGAATAGTGCTGTAGTGAACAATTGTACATGTGTCTGTTCATATTGCTTTCAGAAGAGTCTTTTTCACAAGTAGTGCTGGGAAAACTGGATTTCCACATCCAGAAGCATGAAACTGGTCCATACCTCCCACCACATAGCAAACTTAATTTAAAATGGATCAGGGACCTAAATGTGAGAACTGAAACCTTTAAGTGCTTAGAAGAAACAAGAATACAAGAAAGTGGGGATTTGAATGCAATCCTTTTGCCTGCTGACTTAGGGAGATCATGTAAAGCTAGACTGTGGTATAGATGAGATCCTATCCTTTTGTACTCTGACTTAAGCAAGTGAATTGACCATTGACCATCAGCTGGAGCTGTTAGGTGTGACACAGGATTGTCTTTCACGTGTATATTGCAAGTGCTCAGATATCATCAGGTGTTAGCCCCTTTGCCATTATTTTCTACCTGAACGCTCTGAGACGCTCTCCCTGCCCTTCTTTCCTGTGGCCCAGGTGGTATGTGACGAGTGCGGCTCCCGGGGCTTTGGGTTTGTCCATTTTGAAACCCACGAGGCAGCGCAGCAGGCCATCAGCACCATGAACGGGATGCTGCTGAATGACCGCAAAGTGTGAGTGGCTGGGCCCAGGGGAGGGACTGAGTGGGGACTAATGCCACCCGCCACCCTCTAATGGGCATCAGGCCCTTAGCACCAGATGGTGTCTGTCCTGGTAGTGTGACTTTGAATGAGCCACTCAATCTCCCCGGGTCTCATTTTCTCTCGGGAAAATGGGGCTGCTGATAGGCCTTGGAAGGATGACTCCCAGTAGAGAGAATGGCTTATGGCCAGGTCATCAGTGGACTCGGTGATGTCATCCGCTGTCCAGCCTTCTCAGCACGGCTGTGACGTTTTCATAAACCTTTTGTGTCATTTCAAGGATATGTTGACGGGAAGAATAGTAGGCCTGTGCTCAGCCTGCCGTCTTCAGACAGTTAAGTGTGGAATTGAGATGCACACGCTAGAGAGGATCTGCTGCTGGCACATCGTCCCCAGTTGTTTATTTACTTTTTAATTTAAATTTTTTATTGTCATAAAACATATTTAATAAAGCTCCCCCAGTTCTGATTCTGCCTGTGTGCTAGCCCAGCCCCGTGCTTGGTGCTGTGGGTATGATGGAGGCTTTGAGCTGGGAGAGGTTCTGAGAGTCGTTTTGTCCAGACTCCCATCCACTGAACTGGATCTCAGTGGGCTTTTCCGAGTTCTCAGAAGGACCCCAGCTTTATGAGCTAGAATCTGCTCAAGCTTACCTTGGCCTCAGTCTCCTTCTGTCTTTGGTGGCTGCTGCAACTTTATGCTAAATGTGCTATTTAAAAAAAAAACAAAAAAAAACCTCAGTGCTGTTGAGTCGATTTGACTCACAGCAACCCCTCCTTGGGTTTCCAGGGCAGTATCTCTATGGAAGTAGATTGTCCAGCCTTCCAAGCAGTGGCTGGTTGGTTTGAACTGCCAGCCTTCTGCTTAGCAGTCAAATGCCTTAGGCACTACGCCACCAGAACTCCTAAATGTGCTATACAAAACCAAACCAAACACACTGCCGTGGAGTCGGATCCGACTCATAGTGACCCCTCCTTGGATTTCTGAGGCAGTATCGCTATGGAAGTAGATTGCCCAACCTTTCTTCCGAGGAGGGGCTGGTGGGTTTGAACCACCAGCCTTCTGGTTAGCAGTCAAGTCCCTTAGGCACTACGCAACCAGAGCTTCTAAACGTCCTGTAGATACCAGCAAAATCTCTTACTCTGTGACACTATCTTAGATACTTACATGACCTTGGAAATTAGTTTTAAAAATTGTTGTATTTCAGTACTTGTGGGTCCCTTCACCCCTGCCCCTGTAGTCACACTGGCATGGACCCTCTTGGCCTTCTGCTTCTCCAGTGTGCCAGGTATACATGAAATGACTAAGCGAATCCTCAGGATACAAGTTTGAGTCCTAGTTTTGCAGGAGTGAAAACTGAGGCTCCGGGAGTTTAAGTGGCTTACCCAGGGCTGTACAGCAAAGCATCTGCAGAGCCAGGATTCAAGCCTTCGTTTGCCTGCCTCCCCAGTTCATACTGCTGTCTCCTGTGTTCTGACCCGCCTGGTATAAAGTAGGAGTTGTGTGTGCGTTTGTTGCAAGAACGAAGTCTTCTTAACCTGATGCTGGGCGTGGGCTCTGCAACGTAGAATCCTGGCTGTTGGATGGAGGTGCTTGGGCCTTGGATATGCTTCATCCAAGGAGGATTGCTCTAGCCAGTTTCCTCATGGGGGATATGGAGGCCTGGAGAAGAAGCTGAGAGTGGCTGGAGTTGGGATGGAGAGTTGGCTGTTGGCTGACAGCTGCCCGGCCTTTTGGTATGTCCACAGCTTCGTTGGCCACTTCAAGTCTCGACGGGAGCGGGAGGTGGAGCTGAGGACTCGGGCCCTGGAGTTCACCAACATCTATGTGAAGAACCTCCAGGTGGACGTGGACGAGCAGGGCCTGCAGGACCTCTTTTCCCAGTTTGGTGGGTGTGCTCCTTGAGGCCTGGGAAGAGGGGCAGCAGCGTCTTTTCTTCCACCCCCAGGTCTGGCTGGGCAGAGGGTGCACCTGGGCTTCCTGAGGACTGTGGGAAGGCAGGGAGACCTCCTGGGGCTTCCCCAACTTTCCTTTGAGCCAGGTTGATCCTTCCCAGGGAAGCTGCTGAGTGTGAAGGTGATGAGGGACGACAGCGGCCACTCCCGGGGCTTTGGCTTTGTCAACTTTGAGAAGCATGAGGAAGCCCAGAAGGTAGGAGCTTCCCCATGACCTTGTCCCAAGAAAGAGGCACCGTGCCAGGATTAGGAGGAATGGAGATCAGGAGCAGGGTGCTCCAGCTGCCCGTGCAGGAGAAAAAAGCTCCCCAGCCTGGATCCGGAAGAGGAGGAGACTCCCACACACAGCCAGGGTCCTCCCCACCTGTGATGCCAAGCCAGCAGGCTTCATGCGTCTTCAGTTGCTACTTAACCCTACCCCTAAGGCTAGCTTCTTTTCGAAACTCTTCCCACATGGCAGCTAGAAGTCCCTTTGAGATAGCTATTAACCCTGATCTTGAACTGATAGTGGGATTGAGGACAGGAATGGAAAGTGCCTTATTTCTTGCTTCAAGGCCTTTGCAAGTGCCATTTTCTCAAAACACTGCCCTTCCCCTACCTTTTAGACCAGTGTGGTTTAATAGAAATGTGAGCTCTCTATATAATTTAAATTATCTTGTTGTTGTTGTTGTTGTTATGTGCCATCGAGTCAGCCCTGACTCATAGCGACCCCTCCTTGGGTTTCCGAGGCAGTATCACTACGGAAGTAGGATTGCCCAACCTTCCTTCCGAGGAGTGGCTGGTGGGTTTGAACCGCCAGCCGTCTGGTTAGCAGGCAAGTGTCTTAGCCACTATGCTACCAGAGCTCCTAATTATCTGGTAGTCATATTAAAAAAGGTTTTTTTTTTAAAGTGGAATTCCTTTTACTAATACATTATTCAACATAATATACCTGAAATAGTATTCAACATGTAATCACTACAAAAATTGAGATTTTTTTACATTACTTTTTTGAAATATTATACCAAAATCGTCTATTGTTGTCAAGGCATTGTCAATTCCTAGTGACCCGATAGGGCAGAGTAGAACTGCCCCATAGGGTTTCCAAAGCTGTAAATGTTTATGGAAGCAGGTTGACAACTTTCTCCCGCACAGTGACTGATAGGTTCAAGCTGCCGCCCTTTTGCTTAACAGCTGAGCACTTAACCACTGCACCACTGGGGCTTCTCTTTGATACTGGCAGCATGTCTCAGTCTGGGCTAGCCCCACTTCAGGTGCTCAGTAGCTGCTATGGCTAGTCGGTACCATATTGGACAGTGTGTTAAGTGCCACTGAGTCAGTTATAACTCGTGGCGACCCATATGATAGAGTAGAACTGCCCCAGAGGGTTTTCTTGGCTGTAATCTTTTCAGAAGCAGATTGCCAAATCTTCCTGGGAGCTTCTGGTGGGTTCAAACTGCCAACCTTTCATAGCCTAGTGCTTACACGTTGAACCACCAAGGCTCCTCATTGAGCAGTGACTTTAAACTATGTAATGCCTGCCCTTTGGGTCACAGCTTATGTTCTCCCTCTTCTTGGATTCCACCTCTCCCATCTTCACTCACTCCTGGAGAGGTGCCCTTTCTATCAATGCACATCACCATGTTTAAAACTGAGGGTAGGGGTTGTATCTTGTTTCACCATTATGTCTCTAATACTATACCTCCCAGGAGGTTATCAAATACATTATTTGCTGAACAAGTGAATGGTTCAAGGTCAACCAGTTAGTGACAAAGCTGGGATTGGACTGTCATATGTGGCCTCCCACAATAAGGCTCTTCCCATGGCTGCCTTTCCATTAGGATCATTAGACATGGAAGGTCTCAGCTGTTGTGGATTTTGGCTGGAGACCCGGATCTTGCTGGCATCTTGATTGTAGCCCCTTTTCCTTATGCACTTACCATGGGCAGGGCAGTGTGCTGCATGTCTTGCATACATTCTCATCACTATTCCCGCCAACATGGGCTCTGCTGTTGTTATTAACCCTACATTGAGGTTCCACAAGGCTGCACCTAGTAGGAGAGATAGCTCAGATTAAAATCCGGGTCTGTGTGACTCTGAAGCTTTGTTAACTAGATGGCTTTTTTGAAAGAGACCTTCTTGTGTGTTCTTGAACAAGTCCCACCTTCTCCCTAGAGTTTGGTTTTACCAGCAGTAAAATATAACAAATTATTAGAGGAGATGGGCAAAGCTGTAGGGGTCCATAGACTCCAAGGGCTTAGAGACTTTAGTGTTACCTTGTCAGGTTAAAGTAGAACAGCTGGTCCTTGAGTCAGCACAGTTGATATTTGGGTAGGGAGGCAAAACCTATCATTGCGTGAAATTTTACTAATGTACTAAAATAAATTCCCTTTCAAACATTTCTCCTCACTACACTAGTGTCAGATCTTGGCTGAAAGCAGAGAATACCAGAAAAATGTTTACTTGTGTTTTATTGATTACGCAAAGGCATTTGACTGGGTGGTTCATAACAAGTTATGGATACCTTGCGAAGAATGGGAATTACAGGGCATTTATTTGTGCTCAGGAAGAACTTGTACAAAGACCCAAGAGACTGTCCTTAGAACTAGAGGAATGTTGTGTGGTTTCAAAGTAGGAAAGCTGTGTGTCAGGGTTGTATCCTTTCACCATACTTACTCAGTCTGTATGCTGAGCAAATAACCTGGCCAGGTAGACTATGTGAAAAAGAATGCAGCATAGGATTGGAGGGAGACTCATTAACAAGCTGCAGTATGCAGCGAGATGACACAGCCGTGCTTGCTGAAACTGAAGAAGACTTGAAGCACTTATTGATGAAGATCAAAGACTATAGCCTTCGGTATGGATTACACTTCAGCATAAAACAAAAATCCTCACAACTGGACCAATAAGTAGCATCATGATAAATGGAGAGAAGATTGAATTTGTCAGGAATTTCATTTCACTTGGATCTACAATCAACACTCATGAAAGCCAAAAATCTGATCTAAACCTACTGTCCTGGAGTCAGTTGTGACTCATAACAACCCTGTAAGAAAGAGTAGAACCTGCCCCATAAGGTTTTCCTAGGCTGTGATCTGTGGGAGCAAATGGCCAGGTCTTTCCTCTGCAGAGCACTGGTGGGTTCAAACCATTGACCTTTGAGTTAGCAGCTGAGTCCCCAGAGCTGCTCGGTGAAAACCCTTACGGTTTAGCAAAAAAGGTTTTTTTGTGCTGTTGAATCAGACATGAAGTGAAGGCTATCTATGCTGTAAGGTGATTTTGAAAGAATTGCGTTTGCTGCTTTGTTCCGACAACTGATGTGTAGTTGTGGCTAGAACCTGAATCTGAAACATGGGGGATTTTCTGAATTTGTTTTATTTTTCAAGATGGAGTCCCACTCAAATGTTTTAACTGCAGCTTACTCTGAAGTTTTGTCCCATGTTTTTAAAAAGCGACTCCCTTTTCAAGTGGCCCTTTTCTTGGTACTATTTTCAGCTAGCTAGGCCATCCTGGTTTACAGGTGGCCCCCCATTGGTGGCAGCTAGGGCCAGGGCTAGCGTCAGAGTCTTGGCCACAGCCAGGGTGGTTAGCCAGCACATGCTCCCCTTTTCCACTGCAGGCTGTGATGGACATGAACGGGAAAGAGGTGAGTGGGCGGCAGCTCTACGTGGGCCGGGCCCAGAAGCGGGTGGAGCGGCACAGTGAACTGAAGCGCAAGTTTGAGCAGATGAAGCAGGAACGGCTGAACCGGTACCAGGTGGGATCGGGCCTCCTGGTGGTAGCTGCGTCTAGGTGAAGGTGTCTGTGGGAAGCAGTCCCATTTCTGGGAACTTGGCTCAGGACAGGGATTAGATGAGCAATGGGATATTCTTTACTCTCTTGTAACAGTGGAGAAACCGGACAGTAACCAGCTGCCCAACTGCAAGGGGTTCGTCGGGGTCGGTTGCTTTTGCCTTTCAGTTGGAATTATCTTTTGTGCAGTACCATTTAGCATTCCTAGTCCATGCTTACTAAAGACCAGTTGCTACCTGCAGTTGTGGACAAGTGAAGCACCCTGCTGTTAAGCGGAGTCAACTCTGACTCACAGAGTAGAGTAGAACTTCCCCATAGGTCTTCCTCGTTGGTACTCTTCATGAGAGCGGATGACCAGGTCTTTTCTCCACAGAGCTACTGGTGGATTTGAACTGCTGGAGTTTCAGTTAGTGGCCGAGCACATAACCGTTGCACTACCAACACTCTTTGAAAGCACCCTACATGTTTTATTTTTTTCAAACGTTTTATCGTGTTTTAGGTGAAAGTTTATACACAACGAATTAGTTTCCTGTTCAGTGACTCACACACCACTTGTTCTGTGACACCGGTTGCCACCCCTGTAACGTGTTAGTGCTCTATTGGTTTCCATCCTGCCTTCCCTGTGAACTCCCAGTTTCCCTTCCCCTCTTTGCTTCTCGTCTTTGCTTTTGGGCAGATGGTGCCCGTTTGGTCTCATAGACAGACAGGCAGAGACCTCATGGTATTAACTATTTTATAGGCCACTCTGTTATTTGGCTGAAAGGTGACCTCTGGGAGTGGCTTCAGTTCCAGGTTAAGAGGATGTTTTAGGGTGATAGTCTTAGGGGTTCCTCTAGTTTCTTTTCAGTCCAGTAGTTTGTTGTTATGTGCTGTCGAGTCATCTCCGACTCAAAGCAACCTTGTGTACAACAGAACGAAACACTGCCCAGTCCTGTGCCAGCCTCACAATCCCTGCTATACCTGGGCCTGTTGCTGCAGCCACCATGTCGGTCCATCTTGTTGAGGGCCTTCGCCTCTTTCATTGACCGTCCACTTTACCAAGCATGACATCCTGCTCTAGGCAGTAAGCCTTGTCTTTTTTTTTTTTTTGGTAATGAATTTGAGTTTTGTTCTATATTTCTCCCATCCTAGCCAGGACCGTCTAGCATGTCCCTTGTCAAAGCAGTTGGTAGCGATACCCAAGCACCATCCCATTCTTTTGGGCTCAGGCTAGAGAGGCTGTGGTTCATGTGGGCCATCAGTCCTGTAAAACCAAAACCAAACTCACTGCCATCGAGTCAGTTCCAATTCATAGCGACCCTATATGACAGTGTAATTGCCCCATAGGGTTTCCAAGGTTGTAAATCTTTACAGAAGCAGACTGCCCATCTTTCTCCCGCAGAGCAGCTGGTGGGTTTGAACTACTTACTGATCCTTTGGTTAGCAGCTGAATGCTTTAACTACTGTGCCATCAGAATTCCTTAGTCCTGTAAAGCACTCGACTTATATCTAAATGCCTCTAGGGGAGGTCCGACTCCCAGTTGAGAATAAGCAAGCCAAAAGCTTTCATCCAAAAGTCAGACTGTAGTGCAGCTGTTTAGTTAAAATACCTTAAATTAAAATATTGTAGATGACCGATGTACAACCTTCTGTTGGGAAATGAGCTCCTTCAAAATATTTGATAAAAGTTCCCTTCGAGGAGAGATGGGTGTGATGTGTGTGCCCTGTTTGTATATAGCAGATGGAGTCCCTGGGTGGTGAGGTTAACACACTCAGCCGCTAACTGAAGGGTTGGAGGTTTAAGTACACTCGGGTACCTCAGAAGAAAGGTCTGGTGATCTTCTTACAAGAAAAATCAGCTGCTAGAAACCCTGTGGAGTGCGGTTCTTCTCTGAGGCACATGAGGTCACTATGAGTCAGAGTCAACTCTATGGAGACCAGTAAATAGATCAGGTATCAGTGGTTCTTAGTGGGGTGAGGGGAGATCCTGCACCTCAGGAGACATTTGGTGATGTCTGGAATTTGGAGTTGCTGTGTTAGGTAGGGTGCTGCTCCTGGCATTGATGAGGTGGAGGCCGTGGATGCTGGTGAACATCCTACACACACAGGGCAGCCCCACAGCTGATAGTTACCTGGCCCAAACTGTTGGTAGTGCTGAGGTTGAGAAGCCCTTGTGGACACTTACACCTTGATTTGCACACACAACGTGTTCAGGATGTCTGTAGGCTGACTTCCAGAAGACACGATGTGATCTGTGTACATTCACACGCTTCTGTGCATGGGAGGCCTGGAAGGAGAAAAGGGTCCTGGAGGCTATGCCAGGCAGTGGCTGGGAGCAAGGACTTGACTTCACGCTGCCTGGGTTAGCCTTGTGTCTGCCAGTTGAGGGCCTTGTCATCCTGGACAATTCGCTTAACCTGTTTCTATTTCAATTTTCTTGTCTTAGGGATTAAAGTTGTTGTGAGGATTAAACATTTCCAGGTAGAAGGCTTACAGTGATCCTGGCACCGAGTATGAGTAACATGCAAAGTGCCTGAGGTTACTCGGCTGGCAGGCCGTGGAGTGGCAGCTCTGGTCTGGAGCCCGGGCTCTTAGTTACTGCCCTGTTCAGCCACCGTGAGACTTGGCCCAGGCCAGCCAGGAGCTCTGCCTGGTGCTGTTCCATGTTGACTATCTGGGGGACTAGATTCAGGCTCAGTTTCATGCCTCTGCCTGGCTGGGGGACCTCAGGTTTCCCTCTGAGAGCAGAGGCTTGTGGTGAGGCTAGGATGGGCCCAAGTGTCTGAAAACTTCTGGGGGATTTAGGGATTGTAGGAGCAGCAGGTTCCAGGCCATGGGATGTGTGGGCACCTTGGGAGACTGAGAGCAGGTGGCTTGGCTGCAGGGCTTCTGGTGCCCTTCACACATACATCACCCCCGTTTTTCCTAAGGCAGTCTGGGCTTGGAGGGAGAGGGGCCTATGTAGTGGTACCCTTTCCTTCCAGGGCGTGAACCTGTATGTGAAGAACCTGGATGATTCCATTGATGACGAGAAACTGAGGAAAGAGTTCTCGCCCTACGGAGTGATTACCAGTGCAAAGGTGAGGCCCGGGGCACCTGCAGGGAGATAGCCTTCCCTTTGTCACTGCCACCCTCCCACTACCACATGCCCAGGGGCTTCCAGATTCTGGTGCCAAGCTGCCCCACTGGGGCTATGTCTGAGCCACCTGGAGCTTAGTCTGCCTGCATCCTTGTATGAAGCTCTGTTCTAGGCTGGAAGGCGAGGGGGTGGGAATATAGTCCCAGTCACATAGCTGGATTTATTAGGGCTCACTGTAACCTTGGTTCATGGAGCAAGCATTTATTGAGCACCTACTGTATGCCAGACTCCAGAAATTCAGATCTCAGTATTTCCATTGACTTTTGTTGTGTGGCCTTGGTCAGCAACAGTCCCTACTGGAAATCGAGACTTGGGCTTTATATAATCATTCATTTTCCCCTGTTTATTGAGCACCTACTGTGTGCCCAGCCAGCCATGTTAGGCACCTGAGATGTGACTGACTGGCTGTTATAATAGTAGTTCTGTAACATTGGGCAGGTGTCTTAACTTCTGAGCCTTCTGTATAAAATGTAGGGGCTGAGCTGGATGGTCCTCAACCTTAGCTGCTCTGTAGAGTCCCCTGGAAGCTCTTCAATACAGATGCCTGGGCCAGACACATTGAATGTAGATTTCTGGGGGTAGGTCCTGTCATTTTATTTTCAAAAGCGCCCCAGTGATTTTTAGATGATCTAGTGTTCCTGCATTCCATACTTGGGCTCCTGCTGTTTTACAGGCCCTGTGGGAGGTAGAAGGGACAAATCAGTGTGGTCTTTGCCCTTGAGTAGCTTGTAGTGTGGTGGTGAAGTTGGACCTGTTGCTAACTCACATGTATTATAAGGTAGAAGGTATGAGTACTGGAGGCACGGCTGCCCGGGGCTCAGTGGAACAGGAGGGAGGGCTTCTTGGAAGAAGGGGTGGCGGCAGCAGCATTTGATGTGGCTGTGACTGTAGCGAGAAGCTGGGGACCTGTGCACAATTGTGTTGGGATAGTTGGGATCTTTGGAAAGTGTCTAAAGTTCTTTCTTGCCTGTTTGATACAAATTTAAACGTCCCTCAGGAGCCTGGTGTCTGGGGGAGGTTATAACATTTTTGAGGGTTGGCCTTTTGGATAATGTGACAGAATGCTCTAGGATGTGTAAATTAAGCATAAGTCAATTTAATTACCTATTTTAAAAAGCTGTGGCTTTACCCAAATAGTTGGGGTGGGAGGGAGCGGTAGGCCTTCTTGTACTCGGTGTAATACTGCAGTTGAAAATGGATTTTAAAGTTAATCAGAGCTGGATCTAAATCCCAGCCCTGCATGAAACTAGCCATAGAACCTGAGGCAAGTGCCGTTGTCTTTCAGATCCTGTCTGTCGTTGAGTGGTGTTAGGTCAGTTTTGATTCTGGCCCACAGAGACCCTATAAACCAAGGAATAAACCAAACTCACTGCCGTCAAGTCGTTCCGACTCATAGCAACCCTCCTTGGGCTTCTGAGGCTGTATCTCTACGGAAGTCAATTGCCCAATCTTCCTTCCAAGGAGTGGCTGGTGGCTTTGAACCGCCAGCCTTCTGGTTAGCAGTCAGGTGCCTTAGGCACTACGCCACCAAAGCTCCCATAGCAGGGTAAAACTGCCCATTGGGTCTCTAAGCAGTAATATTTATGGGAGCAGATTGCCAGGTCTTTTCTCCTGCAGAGCAGCTGGCGGGTTCAAAGTGCTGACCTTTTGGTTAGCAGTGAAATTCCTTATGCATTGCACCACTAAAGCTCCTTCACAAAATCAATAGGATTATAAAAAAAAAAATAATAATTATATTGAAGTCCAATTATAGAAATACTAAAACGGCCGCAGTTTGTGTTTCTTTGTTAATGCATTAAGCAGTTTCTAGCAAAGTAGCAATTAACATAAGCGATATTTTGAGATCTGTTAATGCTATGATATTCTGAGATCTCATACTCCTACATTTTTATTGCCCACATCCAAAATTGAAACTTGAGTTAGAGGTTAATGAAAATAAAGGTGTGCTTTAATCTCCGTCTAAGTTCACAGATCCCCTGGACCCCATAAGTATCTCCCTACCCACAGACCCCAGGTTATGATCCCTATACTAGTGGGTAGCAAAGTCCAGTTTGAAAATCATTGATTGAGAGCATGGCCTCATAGACATTTTACATGTCAGCTCTAGTCCTTGCAGATAAGAGGTACCAGTACTCTGGCCCTAGAAAAGACTATGAACCCTAAGTGTGTGGATTGGGTCTTGGAACAGAAAGAGGGCATTAGTGGAAAAACTGGTGAAATCCAAATAAAGTCTGGAGTTAATAGCTTTGTAGTTAATAGTGTCATAATTGTGCTGTGCCAGCATTAACGTCGCGGCAAATGTACCATGTTAACATTAGGGGATGCGGGGTGAAAGATGGATGGCTGCTCTGTGCTAGCTTGGCAACTTTTCAGTCCCTCTGAAATTATTCCAAAAATTTAAAGGCTATTTTAAAAGAAGAGGTTAAAACCTCTTCCCCAAATGCCTAAAGAACTTGGCTCAGTGCTTCGGAAGGCAATATAGGCTTACCAGGAAGTAGTGTTGGGATTGGAGCCCTGGTGGTGTGATGGTTAAGCATTTGGCTGTTAACTGAAAGGTCAGTGGTTCTGTGGGAGAAAAGACCCTGGTGATCTGCTCCTGTAAATGTTGTTGTTGTTATGTGCCGTCGAGTCGGACCTAACTCATAGCGACCCCTCCTTGGGTTTCTGAGGCGGTATCACTAGAGAAGTAGATTGCCCAACCTTCCTTCCGAGGAGTGGCTGGTGGGTTTGAATCACCAGCCTTCTGGTTAGCAGTCAAGTGCCCTAGGCACTATGCTACCAGCGCTCCCCCCAATAAAGATTACAATTTAGGAAACTACCGGGCAGTTATATACTCTGTCCCTTAGGGTTGCTATGAGCTGGGATAGACTCAGTAGCATATAACAACTTGGCTGGTGTGTGACTCATTGGCTGGGTGACAGGCTGAGTTATCCAGTGCCACCGTAACAGAAATACCACGAATGAGTGGCTTTAACATTTATTTTCTAAGTTTGGGATGCTAGATGTCCTAGTTCAGGGCGCCACCTGTAGGGAAGGGCTCTGTTTTGGTCAGCTCTAGGGGGTCCTTGTCTCTTCAGTTTGTCTCCTGGTTCCTTGGAGATCTGTCTCCCTGAGGCTCGGTATCTGTCTCCGCCACCCCACCCCGGCTCTGGAGGAAGGTCCTTGTCCCTGGAGACTTTCCCCTCTCTCCTTCCTGTTGTTGTTGTTACGTGCCGTCGAGTCAGCCCCGACTCATAGCGACCCCTCCTTGGGTTTCCGAGGCAGTATCACTACGGAAGTAGGATTGCCCAACCTTCCTTCTGAGGAGTGGCTAGTGGGTTTGAACCGCCAGCCTTCTGGTTAGCAGTCAAGTGCCACTCTCCTTCCTAGCTTGCTCATTTAATCCCTTTTATACCTCAAAAGATTGATTCAAGTACCCTACAGTACTTCTGCCTCATTAACATGACAAAGACAAACCATTCCCAGATGGGATTATAAACACGCATGAAACCAGACCAAACTCACTCCTGTCCAGTGGATTCCGACTCACAGTGACCCCATTTGGGTTTCCGAGGTGTTAAATTTTTACAGAAGTAGATTGTTCTTCTGCGAAGCGGATGGCAGGTTTGAACTGCCAACCTTCTGGTTAGCAGTCAAATACCTTAGGCGCTACGCTGCCTAGAGGTTAGGATTTACAACATACTTTTAGGGGACACAGTTCAGTCCCTTCCCCCAGAGAACTTAGCCAAGTGACCACCTCTCAGGTACCTCTCACTTTCCTCCTCTGCGAGTGGGAGTGGCCATGCCTCCTCCTCGGTGCTTGGGCATGTGAAGTGAGAAGGCCCAGAAAAGAAAGGAGCTGGCACGCAGTATGCCTCAGTAAATGGTGGGGTTGGCGGTGCATCTCCCAGGTTCCTTGTGGGCCTTTGTGGTGTTGGGGTCTGCCCCAGGGGAGGAGGGGAGCACTGTCCCAGTAGTCTCCCTTCTCCACCCCCCAGCAGCCCTTGTCTTTCTTGCTTTTAGGTGATGACAGAGGGTGGCCACAGCAAGGGGTTTGGCTTTGTGTGTTTTTCCTCTCCAGAAGAGGCGACAAAGGCCGTGACAGAGATGAATGGGCGCATCATCGGCACCAAGCCACTGTATGTGGCGCTGGCCCAGCGCAAAGAAGAGCGGAGGGCTATCTTGTCCAACCAGTACATGCAGCGCCTCTCCACCATGCGGGCCCTTAGCAGCCCCCTCCTGGGCTCCTTCCAGCAGCCCACCAGCTACTTCCTGCCCGCTGTGCCCCAGGTCTGCCTGCCCATAAACTCCCACCACACTCCCTCCCTGGCAGCCAGGTAGAGCAGGAAGCCTAGAGCTTCACAGCCAAAAGTAGGTCGCCAGCGTGCTTCTCCCAGTTACTTCCTAGGCAGGCGGGGTTAACCTCCTATGTCTTAGCTGTCCCCTCTGTAAAATGGGGTCATAGTGTTGTTGTCAAACACCATTTCCCAGTCTGAGAGCTTTCTGAGTGTTAGGCTGAGAAAGGCTTCCCCACAAGCACATAGAGGGCAGTGGCAGTTAAGTGACAGATTTCTCACTTTCCATGTGGGAGACTTGCGCACCTCGTGTTATTTACGAGTTGATCCCCCGTCTCTGTCAGTCTGGAAGCTCTGCTGAAACCTGTTCAGTGTCACAGCAACACACAAGCTTCCACTGACAGGTGGGGGCTGTGCTCGAGATGCGTTGGCTGGGAATCGAACCCGGGTCTCCCGCACAGAAGGCAAAAATTCTACCACTAAACCACCACTGCCCCGTTATGTACATTTCCACACAAAAAAGTTGCTGTTGAGTGGACTTTGACTCGTGACAACCCCAGGTATGTTGTGGTAGGACTGTGCTCCCTCCATAGGGTTTTCTGGAATTACATGGCCAGGCCTTTGTTCTGCCAGCCCTGTTACCCCTTACTCCATCCCAATATGCCAATACGTGTTATGACTCCAAAACAGGGATCAAGTGTGTAGCACTTCCCCAGCTTAGAGGGTCACTTTTAGTGGGATGCTTGTTACCATCTCTCTTGATGGTTAATGCTCTGAGGAGCCTGGTTTGGGAAGGGAATTCACATAACCTAGTAGAAGTAGGATGCCAGACAGTTAAAGGTGACTAGGATGGGCACAGGAGCTCTGGTGGCATAGTGCCTGAGGCACTTGACTGCTAACCAGAAGGCTGGCGGCTCAAACCCACCGGCCACTCCTCAGAAGGAAGGTTGGGCAATCTACTTCCCTAGTGATACTGCCTCAGAAACCCAAGGAGGGGTCGCTGTGAGTCAGATCCAACTTGACGGCACGTAACAACAGGATGGGCACAGTCCCCCCTGTCTCAGCAGTTGCCTCAGCTGGCACAAGTGGGAGTAAGAGGGTCACTTCTACAATGTGTCCAGTCAGTGGCTCTGATGAAATCTGAGACCTTGCCCTGAATGGTTCACAGCTAATGGCCCTTCTGAGATGGGAAGAAGGACATTTAGTCTCAGCTTGGTGGGTCTTACCAATCAGGCCCCTGGAGGAGTTCTGCTGTGCTGTCCACAAGGTGGGGGGGGGCAGTTCCCTGTGCCCTGCAGCAGGCGCCCTCACGGTGGGGGGGGGCAGTTCCCTGTGCCCTGCAGCAGGCGCCCTCACGGTGGGGGGGGGCAGTTCCCTGTGCCCTGCAGCAGGCGCCCTCACCAGGTCCTCTTCTCGCACACAGCCTCCAGCCCGGGCTGCGTACTATGGCTCTGGCCCTGTGGCCCCCATCCGGCCTGCCCCAAGGTGGACAGCCCAGCCACCTAGACCGTCGTGTGAGTGACCAGCCCCTTTCACCCTCTATACGTGGGTGTGGGCCCCGTGGGGCAGTGTGTAACGTAATGGTTCAGAACACAGACTTGGGGGTCAAGCCTGGCTCTGCCACTTACTAGAGTATGAATCTGGGCAGATCACTTCACTCTGTTTCCCCTTCTGAGAGATGGGCCTGAAGGAGGCGTGCATAAAGTACCAAGCATAGTGCAAGGCCTACAGAAGACACGTTGGGTAGCTGTTAGCATGAGCTGTAGCCCGAGGCTTGTCTGATCTGTGACTGAAATTCCTCCTCACTGCCCTCAAGTTGGTTCCGACTCAGCAATCCCCTGTGGGGCTGTAAATCTTTATGGAAGTGGATCACCCCATCTTCCTTCTGTGGAGCAGCTAGTGGGTTTGAACCTCTGACCTGGTTAGCAGCTGGATGCCTTATCCACTACGCTACCAGAGTTCCTTGAAAATTCTTCCACTGCTGAGAAAATGAAATGCCTCTGGCCCTATCTCCAGTGAACGGCCCTTTTCTATGAGTGCGCAGTTCGTGCTGACTTGGCACTCTCTTGGAAAAGTAGGGTGTGTAATCATGGGGCCATGCACCTTGGGGCTCTGGGTAGACAGGAGTTGGCTCTGTAGTATCAGCTTTCCATATCCCCATCCCTGGAGTGCCAGGTCTGCCTGAGGCGGCGAATTTGCCTCATCCTTCTGCTGTGAACTTTCTAGTTCTGCCCCTGTCCCCTTCCACACTGCGGAACCCTCAGGGAGCAGAGTGTCACTGGTGGTCCTGCCCTAGCCTTACAGTCTCTGTACTTTCCCCTCCACAAGCTGCCTACGCTCCAGCTGCCTCAATGGTTCGGCCCCCAGCCACACCTCGGCGCCCCATGGCTCACCTCAGTGGTATCGGGCAGACCTCCACCCAGGTGCCGCACTCGGTGCTCCACACCCAAAGAGTGGGTGAGTGTGGGCAGGGCCAAGAAGGATGGGGCGTGAGGAGGTCCCTGCTGGGGTTAGTGCTGGAGGGGTATCGGACGGAATTGGCCCCATGGTGCCCTTGTTACATGCCCTATCTGGAGGCCACATAATAAGTAGTTAGCGGCAGACCCGTTTGTGGGAGCTAACTTACTCTGGGGTCTTGGTGATGACAATGTCTGATTGCCTGATCTTTAAAATAGACTTTAAAATCATATACCCGTTTTGTTGTGAGGATTGAGATCACACGTGCAAGGGCTTCTCATGGGACCTGAACCTTGGGAAATACTGCAGTGCCTGTGAACAAGGGTGTAGCTTTTGGCTGTAAGGCAAAAACACCCATTTCTTCATTCAGCACGTCTGTGTACCAGTCTTGTGCTCAGCGCTGGGGATTCTGTGTGACCAAGCCAAACACGGTTGTCAGTTGCTGCCATTGGTCACTGCCAGGTCCTAACACGTCTCATTTCTTACAGCCAACATTGGTACCCAGACCACAGGGCCTGGCGGGACCGAAAGCTCTACGTCAGGCCGGTCCCTCCTGCCGTACAAATACTCCTCAGCCGCACACAACGTTCCCCGGGTAAGCTCACTGGGTGAGGCCAATCGGCTGTCCTTTCAGCTTGTGCCCGGGGGGTGGAGGCTGCCTCGGAACCGAGGTGCTAACCCTCCCTGGGTCTTGGTTTTCTTTTTTTTTTTTCCTCTTGGCTTGTTGATGTTTTTTTTCTTAATGTGCACAATCAATAAGAAACCACCCAAACTAACAGAAGGGGAAAGAGGCCAGATCACATTTCCTTTCCTAAGTACTGTTTGCTTTGCCTGGGCTACTACCAAAAATAATCTGGGTTTTCTTACCATTTTTGTGTTAAAGCAGCAAGGAAAGGTATCCTATGAATCCACTAAGTGATGAAGGGATGTGATTAATCCACAGACGGAGAGCTGGAAATACCCACTGCAATGAAATAAAAGGCTGGGATATTTTGTCAGATACCCTCCAGCCCCCAAAGGTCTCGAGTTCAGCATTACCATATCCTGTCTAGAATCTCCATGTATAGACTTCAGACTCTCACAATACTAGCGGCAAGAAGTAGTCTTTTTTTTTTTTTTTGCAGCAGTATACACGACCAAGTATACATGTGTTCATTTGATAACATTGGTTACACACTTCACAGTTCCACTGTCTCTGCTCACTGTTCCCTTGCTATTAACTTAGACGATCTGCCCGTTAAAGTACACATCTGTGCTTTAGATCAACAGTTGTCAGCTTCACCTCAGATAATTATTTTTAAGAGCCAGTGCTCAAGACACTGATTGTTGAGCTAAAACTGCTGTTTAACAATCGCTTCATTGTGTAGTTTTAGTTCAAGGTTTAAAGATTATTTTCAGGCATTAGATTTGGGGGTTTTCCCAGTCTGGATAGATCCAGTAAGTCTGGTTACAAGAAGTAGTCTTTAAACAGCAAAACCCTTTTGTAGTTACCAAGATGTGCAGGGGTCACAAGTATACAAGGGATATGGCTGTGAAGCTACTTGATTAAAAAAAAAATGCTTGATTTGGCACTAAGTGAGTATAGTAACGAGTGTAGCTTTCACTTGGTAATATTCATAGCACCACAACCAACTTGTAAATTAGAACTTCACTTTGTCTTCTACTTCACCAGGCCTTTCTTAGGGACTCTCTACCCAACCCACTCTTTAGACCTTATTCCTTGTCCCCTCCTCCAGGGAGTCTTCCTGGAAACCTTGTGTTCACTTGGCAGGGTAAGTGCTTCAAGGCCTTGCCTGTCTGCGGTGGTTGAGGGCTGTGTCCCTGGCCCCATGTTCAGGTCTTGGAGCAACCTGTGCACAGACAAGAGCCCCTGACCGCGTCCATGCTGGCTGCAGCCCTGCCGCACGAACAGAAGCAGATGATTGGTGAGTCGCTGGTGTTCTCAGGAGCAGCAAGAGCAGGGCTGGGAGGTGGATGATCTGGTGGGAAACTCCCAGGGTGAGGCCAGGAGGCTCTGAGACTGTGGTCCAGCCTTGTTGCCAACCAACCTGCTGGGTGACCTTGCACAAGCCTCCTCTACCTACTAGGCCCTTGTGGTCCTTTTTTCTTTAATTTAAAAAATACATACATACAATACCATGTTTGCCACTGTAACATTCTTCAGGTGTACAATTTTGTGACCTCAATTACTAATGTTGTGTGAACATCACCGATACCTGTTGCCACATTTTCCCTCACTGTATACAGAAACTCAGTGCTTCCTAAATAGGACTTCCCCCTTTCCCTGTCTTCTTGCCTTAAAACATTGGCCTGACCAGTGTACCCAAGGTTTCTTCCAGCTGTAGTGGGACTTATTTTGGGAGAGATTCCAGAGGTGGGGAGATTAGGGGCCAGGAGAAGTGAGGGTGTGGTCTTGGGTTTCTGTTGGGAAATGGCCCACGAGGGGTATGTATTGCAGCTTCAGGCACCTCCCTTGAACAGGAGGAAGCTGTTACCAAATCTCATTCATCTCCCAGTGCCCAGTGTAGGGAGGTGGGAAGTGTGTGTGTTGGGTGAGTAAACGTCATTTCTCACTGGACTCTGAACTCCTTGTTAGGCCGTCTCTGTTTAGAAGAGACCCTAGCTAAAGATGCCACTAACTCCTGAAGGAATGAGCAGGCTTGTTACTGGTTGGCGGATCCTTTTCCTCGCGGCCACTAAGCTCTCCAGACCCTTCACTAAAGGCCCCCGTTGCCACCACCCCCTTGTCTCTTCAGCTTACTCTAATTTTGCCATTTTTCTGGCCCTTACCTTGCTCCCACCAAAAAAAACTTCTAAGTGGGCTTTAATGGAGGTAGAAGGCTTTTCTCGCAGCAATCCATAAACATCTTCACTTTTCTCATGGGAAGACCCCGCTGACCCCACCTAAGGCACCGTGTCCTGGCTAGGTCCACCGTATGTTGCTGAGGTGGAGTGACCACCAGCACCAGGTCCTGCCACTAGAGATCCTTGATGGTGGAACGTGACATCATCCTGATGGAGAAAGCAACTTTACGTCTGATCCTGTGCAGATTACTTCATGTATAGTATCAAAATCAATTCTGCAAACTATCCTCTAAGGATGAGGTTTACTCTGCCCATTTCATGGTTGGAGAAGAGGCTGCCGGAAAGGTTGGGTGCCACAGCCTTTAGTACAGGTCTGGGACAGGAACCCAGGTGTTTCTCAGTGCTTCATTCTATGGTACCGCCCTGGGATGCATGAGTATCAGCCCGGGGTGTGTACAAGCCCTCGGTGGTTCTGCACAGGTGAGCGGCTCTACCCCCTTATCTATGGCATCCATGCCCAGCTGGCCGGCAAGATCACAGGCATGCTGCTCGAGATTGACAACTCGGAGCTGCTGCTCATGCTGGAGTCTCCAGAGTCCCTCCATGCCAAGGTAGGCCGGAGCCTGGACAGCAGGGAGCTCCGAGGTGGGGGCAGGAGAACTAGTCCCAGAAGTGTCTCCTACAGGAGCTAGTGGGCTGCTCAGTGAAGTTTATCTTCTTGCTAATACTGGAAGGTCTACTGGATCATGGCACCGTACAGGCCCTTAATGAAGGGTCTACTTTAGCCCATTAGCAGCTAGATGACTCCTTTTTAGCTCCAGGGTTTCAGTGTAAGGAGCTGTGTTCTGACTCAGTGTAAGGGTTCAATTTCTGCCAGCTGTACAGAAATGTGTATCTGTCTTGAGAAGGCGATGGTGAATTTCTGTCACTGGAGCTTGCAAGTCGCAGTTGGACGACAGTTTGGCAGAAGAGGCGTGGACGGAGGGGAATCCTGGCATCGAGCAGGGTGGGCTGGGGCGGGGGAGGAAGGGACAGGGCTTTCCTGGGACCCTGCTGGGCAGCTGAGCACAAAGCCCCCTCCCTGTACCGCACAGATAGAAGAGGCCGTGGCCGTGCTGCAGGCACACCAGGCCCTGGAGCAGCCCAGAGTGCACCTGCCCTGAAGCCAGGTGGGTGGGCAGCCCAGAGTGCACCTGCCATGAAGCCAGGTGGGTGGGGGGGCGTGGCAGAAGCCGCTGAGCCCAGAAGCAGCTGGAAAGATGCAGGGGTGATGTTCAACAAGCACCGTCCTGTCTCTCTGAGGCCACAAGAGGGAGTTTTGGGCAAGTGTGAGAACTGGTGATGGCACCGTGTGCTTGGAATTGGGGTGTTTATTACAGTGCAGGGGAGGGAGGTGCCCTCTTGCTAGCTGTCCTGCCTGGCCTAGGAACTGGGTTTTCTTTGGGCACTGCCGGGCTCCCTTCTGTTTGCCAGGAGGCCTGGCCTAGTCTGCAACTGAAGACCGGTGTCTACTGTACTTCTGAAATGTTTATTTTTACCCTTTGCTCCCCAGAAAATGGAATCTTTACTCCCATGGCTGCCAAGAGAACAGTGTCTCCTGCTCTTGGCTGTGAGGCATGTGACTCCCATGACTTATCTCCCACTGGGGCTATGTCTGTACTTGAGCTGTGTATGTGGACTGAAGGCTGGTCACCCTGTCAGCCTGTTAACTTTGTGTATTAAAAGTGTTGCAAAATCTGTCTCACCTCCAGGAGGCCTTGTGTCTAAAGTGTGTGTGTGTGTGTGTGTTGGGGGGTGGGGTGCAGCTGAACAGAGCAAAGGGTACATTTGACTGGCTTGGGGTGATAGCTGTAAGGAACAGAAACTCAAATGAGCTGAAGTGTAAATGAGGGTGTGTACCTACATCAGGAACTGAGTGGGACTAATACGTAAGAGCCCCAGACTACTTGACAGTGCAGTGGACGAGTAAATGAGCATCATCATACAGTGGGCTAGAACATAGCACTGAGAAAAGGAGGGAAACCCATAGGTGCACACAACCACCATTTACTCATCCACTGCACTGTCGGGTCGGTGCGCCCCAGCTCTCCAGCCTCCCCTGCCCCTGAGCAGCCAAACGACAGTGGTGAAAACACCACCCAACGGCTGGTTCTGCTGAAAAGCCATAATTGGACCAAGGCCTCCAGGCTGCTCTGCCCCACCCCACTCCCCACTTTTCCTTTTCTCCATAGACATTTCAGGCGTTCACCACTCGGGCTCCATCCCTTGTCACTTAGCTCCCTACTGCTGCTAAGCTGACCCCTCTGCAGATTTGTCTTCTCAAATGCTGAAGACTGATGTTTCAGGCTTGCTCCTGAGCACCTGTCTTTCCTTTTTTAAATTTATTTATTGTGATTTGGGTGAAGATTTACAGAGAAAATTCACTTTCCATACAGCAGTTCACATATACTTTGTCTCATGTCATTGACCACAGTTTACCACAATGCAACAGCTCCCCTCC